AATCCCCGAAATGTTAGATTGGGACTTGCCTTTGATAGATTCAATATGTACGGGGTTCTAAACCAACACCACAACACTGGGCCGATTTTTGTATTTTTCATATAATTTTCCGCCTTGAAAATGTATGAAAAAAGAATACATGATGATGACTCTTTTGATAACTAAGGATATTGGTAGGTTAATCGATGTTTACTTAAGGTCGTTGGTTGATGAGCTAAAGGATTTATAGATAAACAGTATACACACACATGATAAGTGTATTGAGAAGATATTCACTTTGCAAGCAATAGTTATGTGGACAGTGAACGATTTTTCCGCATATGCAATGGTTTATGGGTGGAGCATTAGGGGTTATATAGCATGCCCTGTCTGCAAGGATGATGTAACATCTAGTTGGCACACCGGAAAAAGTTTGTTACCTTAGTCATCAGAGATGGTTGCCATGGGACCACAAATGGTGGGAAAAGGATAAAGAGTTCGACAGGAAAATAGAGTCTTGCTTCAAACCTAGAGAATGGTCTGCTGATTAGATTTTGAAACAGCTTAACTGTTTGGATTTTGCTTCGTTTGGGAAAACAATGAGTTGAGTTCCCGTATTGGTCAAAACTAAAATTGTAACACAACCTCGACGATATGCATGTTGAGAAAAAATGTATTTGAACATTGGTGTTCACCATTCTAGATATTGAGGGCAAGACAAGGGACACGATCAAAGCTCATCTTGGTTTGGAATAAATGGGAATACGGTGGGGTTTATGGATGAATAGGGATAGTGATAAAGCCAGAAGGGATCTTGTGTTTTTTTTTTCCATGAAACCAAATGACAAAAAGAGTTTTTAAAGTTTTTGTTGTCTGTAAAGTTTTCCGATGGGTATACTTCTAATATGGCGCGTTGTGTGAATGTTAACATGGGTAAATTTGTTGGACTGAAGAGCCATGACTGCCATGTGGTTATGCAACACTTACTTCAAGTGGGTATTCGACACCTATTGCTATAAGATGTAGTGAAGCCAATCATGTTTATTGTCCAGATTTTTTTCCCAACTAACGTCAAGAATGTTGCGGAAGGCGGACGTTAATCAGTTGTGTCATGACATTGTCCAAGTCTTATGCAAGTTTGAGATGATATTTCCTCTAGCTTTCTTCACAAGTGTGATCCATGTGATGGTTCACTTGCCGGAAGAGGCATTGCTTGTTGGTTCTGCCAACTATCGCTAGATGTATCTAATAGAAAGTTATATAATCCTCATCATTTATTTATTCATCATTAACTAATGCTTACTAATTTGTATCGTATCGTTTTATTTTGGCAAGCTTCTCGGGGAGTTGAAAAAAAGTGTACGCAACATGGCGAAGCCCGAATGATCAATTATAAAGTTTGGGTTCAATATGAGTCGTTTATATTTTGTGGAATGTATTTAAAAGATGTGGTGAAGATTTTTAATCGTCTTCAGTGCGATAATGACAGGGGTGTGAGAAATGAGAAACTTTTTATTTTTGCCCAAAGCGCACGACCCTTTGGAGATCCTGTACGAGGCGAGTTGTTTTCCAAAAATGACATGGAGGTAGCGCATTGGTTCATACTGAACAATTGTGACAAGACAATGGCATACCTAGATAAGCATGAAGAGATGATGAAGCAAGAACATCATCACATTTGTATGCCAAGAAACACCGTGAATTGTTTCCACAGTGGTTTCTCGAATATGTAAGTTATAAATGTTTTGTATTTGATATATATATATATATATATATATATATATATATATATATATATATTGTAGTATTTAATTTTCTCAAACTAACAGTTGTATGTTTTTGTATAATGTTAGATCAATCAATTGAAAGCATCGAATTCCCCCACTTACAGTGAAGAGTTATATAACCTGGCGTTCGGACCGATCGTGATGAATTGTTCTCAGGTTGCCATGTTAATGGCGTCAAGTTTTTGGGGGTTGCACAAAATGACAAGTTGTGTATGCAAAACAGTGATGTCTATGTCCTAAGTGGAGGCAAAAGTACAGACATTGATTTCTATGCAAACTAACAAGTATCATGCAATTTCTTTACAAAGACCGATGCTAAGTGATTATGTTTAAGTGTTGATGGTTTGATACAAACCCAAGTAGGCAGGGAAGTGTTCAAATCGACCATGGCTTACTATTTGTGAACACTAACATAACTTGGTATGATGGCAACCCTTACATTTTGGCAAACATGGCAAAACATATTTTGTATCTAGATGACCCTAAAGCTATGAGAGGTTGGAAAGTTGTTCAAAAGATGGATCAAAGGAATGTATATGCTATACTAGAACAAGACCTTACTGACGATGACGTCGACAACATCGCTGACTCACGTTTAGAATCTTCAATGGAAAATGATGCGGAAACACTCTGAGATACAAATCTTATCTAAGAATTGTTTTAGATACAAGGAGTGGCTTCAATCGAAATACCGATTCAGTCAAATACAATTGACCTAGGTAATCTTCTGCGATACGATGTTGCAGTGGGCCTGAATGACGACGATGACGTACCTATCGACGAGGAGGAATGGGAGACTGAAAATGATGATAGCGACGATAGTGAAAGTTATTATAGTTTGGATGATGAATAATGCAATTTATTTGTGACTTGCTTTGTAAAACATATTAAATGATATTTTTTGTAATTTATTTATCTTATGTTATAAATAAATTGTTTTTATTTGAATAAATTTAAATTTAAAATTATTTGACCCAGGTAAATTAAATTTTCAGCTTATTGTGTGACGAACATGAAGGTATTCGTTGCGCAAATGTTATTTGCGCAACGACTACATTCCTTTTCATCGCTCAAGGAGTTGAAAATTTGACTTTCTGGGCGGGCACCAAAATAATTTCTTGAAAATTTGAATTTTTTACGCGACGAATACCTTTCTCTTCGTTGCGCAAGAATCTCGGAATTTAATTAAAATGCCAAACACCTTTTCCCCTTAGTTCTTCCTCTATGTTTTTCTCGACACTGCAAACTCTCTCTCAACCTTTCTCTCCTCTCTCCTTCCGACAACCCTCTCTCTCACTCAATCTCTGTCACCCTCTCACCCTCTCGCCCTCTTGCCATTAGACCCCCTCACACTCTCTTTTCCTCCTCCGACAGCCCTATCTCTCAGTCAATCTCTGTCACACTCTCTCTGAGGTAATTTTTCAATTTACTTAACTCTAGTGTTATACTTGTAGTTAGAGTTCTAGGAAGTAGCAATTGCAGGATTATTTCTTAATTTCAAATTAGGGATAGGAATTTGTAATTTTAGGATTTAGTAAAGTTAGGAATTAAGGTTCAGAAAATTTTAGGAATTTGTAATTTTAGAAATTAGAGTTCTAGAAAATTTTAAGAATTTGTAATTTTTGTAATTTTAAGATTATTTCGTAATAACATGCATATCTGCTTTGCATGCATATCTATCTTGATTGCATATCTGATCCACGTTTTTATTGCTAGCATTGGTTGCCTATACATATACATATACATATACATATATATATATATACATATATATATATATATATGTGTGTGCATTAGATTACGTTTTCGTTGTTGCTGCTGCCGTATCACATTCACACACATATGAGAGCAACCATTAATTCTTGAGAGACATTACTGCATGCATTTTCACATATCAGCATCATAACTCTTACCTTTGTTTTTCTCTCATGTGTCGCATTAGATTACGAGTTTTGATTTTGGCTGTTGATATAGGAATTATGCATTGAGAGCCTAAAGTTAAAGAAAAAGAGAAAACCATCGTAAGCACAGTGCATTGAGAAAGAAATTGGTTAGCAGCATTGCATGTCTTTTATATATTTCAGTTCGAGAGCGAGCATGTTTTGAAGTTATATATAACATATAGTAGTTAGCATTTGTGGCAACACAAAGACACCAAGTGCACTTATATTGCAGTAGAGAGTTTTTCTTCAAGCTAATCGACATCATATTTTTGAAAGAAAAAAAATCTTATGTGCATTGGTATTTTGAATAGCCCCGAAACCAGTGTCTTGTATTTCAGAAAATTCAGTGTTTGAACTCAAGTGTTTTAAATTATTTTAATCACTATTTTTTATGAGCTTTAATTAGAAATCAATTATGAAAATGTGCCTTGTGATTTTCGTAATTGATTGTTTTTCAAAAATCACACCATTCATTCATTCTACATGATCACATTAGTATCTTGCAAAGTTCAAGAAGAAGATGATTGACGGCCGCGTTAGTGTCGTGCATATCTGATTTGGTTGAAAACAGTTTTCCTAAGTCAGCGTGTTTCTATTGATTTATTGGAAGCCTATATGTAGGCATTAGATAGGATTTCTAAAGGCTGCTGCAATTTTATGATTAAAAAAAAAAAAGGTTTTATGTTGCTGCCTTATCACAACATATATATGCACTGAATTTTTTTTCTTCTAATTGTGCAAATGTCGCATCGTATTAGAAGTCGTAAGGCAGTGACAACTGCACCCCGTTTGATTCTCCCACCTCCTACTTTAGCCGCCACTGCTCTGGCAAAAATGGACCTGAAGCTGGTTAATCCGGTTGGTCCCCGGGTTTCCTAGGCGTCGGCATCATCGGCCTCTTCAGTGGTGCTACCTGTTAGCGCCAGGCGTGCTCACCGTCGCCCCTACACGCCTGACATGACATCGGCATCCACTACTAATGTCTCGGGGTCACAACCAAGTAAAGTTAAATAACTCCCTTTATTTCCTTGTGAATTTAGTTATTCATATATTAAGTTCAATCAAAATTGTTACATATTGCAATTGTGCGTTTGATCCAAATTTGGCTTATTCAACTATTGTGATTGTTGTTGGATATCATATATTATTCATTATAATGTCCAGGGTTTGGGAAATGTTATAATTTTAGGGGAGGTTTTGCCAAAATTTTGGTATAATTTGTAGTGTTTGTTTGACTTTTTTTATTTTTTTTTAGCAAAGAAAAATACACAGGGACCTTGTCGCCAGTTAAAGGCGACAAAGGTCACCCGGATGACCAACGGACGTATCATGATTGAATACGACGATCAGCATCAGGCTGCACCAACAACGAAGCAGCATAGCGCATTGGACCATGACATTAGTCACGTCGTTCGGTCCGATGGAAGTCTTGGAAGGCGATATCGGACGAGGTGAGGACGAAGGTGCGCGATTATTTGTCGGTAAGTATCCTGGCTTTTTATTGCTTCTCCTTTAAAGTTTATATATTTATATTAATTAATGTATGTAATTAATTTGTTACATTATAGACGAACTACAATTTCGACGACATCAACGACAATATGTTGGCGTACCTCAACAGGCTCTTCGCTGAACAATACAAGCAGTGGAAGAGCAACCTACACTAATATTTTGAGACGTTTGCTGATCCACATGTTGCTTTGGAGGAAGGTTGGGCGAAGGAGTTTGAGGATCAGGAAGAAAATTGGGTGTGGCTCTGCAGTCATTTTTAGGAGTCCGACTATGTGGTACGTTTTGTATATTAAGTCTAAAAATTTTATATGTTTCTTACTAATGTTTATTGATTTTTTTTATATTCCATTTAAATTACAACTAATATGTTTATTTTGTGTATAACAGATGAAGGTGAAAGCCAACAAGATCAATCTGGAGAAGAAGACTCTTCTCCACCATTCGGGTTCGAGGCCCTTCTCATATAGGATGAAGGCACAATGGTAGGTAATAATAAAGCTTTTCATATTCAATTTTTAATATATCAGTAAAAAAAAAATTTCGTACAAACATTTTTCTTATCTTGTTATATTCAGGGGGTTCAAAATTCCCAAAGATCAATGTCTTTGCAGACGTTTATGTTCGACCGGGGCATGAGTTGGTCGAGTCCCTTCATGTAACAACCCGCCCCTAATTTTACGATTGTAAAAATGTAAAAGAGTGAATCGACAAAAATAACCCTAGAGGCCGAATTGTTGACTTTCATTGACCATCAATTCGTGACACATACGAGCTACTATTTTACCGTATTCTTGAAGTTCTCGACAGTACGAATGCTTAGACACAAGCAGAATCAAATTAAGAATTATGACAAAGATTATGGATGTACAAAGGTGAAAGGTAATTTAGTAAATTCACTATTTTTCGATGAATTGTCCCTCATTATTTTATTAATTTCTGTTGAGATTTTTTTTATGTCAACGGGGCCCACGCCCATTATCCTGTGTTCCCATTTCTCCTAAACCACCATTTATTTGCTACCACCTCACCCTACTCCTGTTCTTATCTCTCTTGCTTTCTCATCCCTCTCGTCCCACCTTTACAACTATCGACGCCGAGACCAGAGCACCACCTCCATACCCATCACCAACTTAGTGCGAACTCAACTCCCCCAAACATCATACCATTTCTCCTCTGTAAACGAACCACCACCATCGAACCAGGATGCCGTGTGACCTCCATGTTTCCCGATGAGAACCTCAAGAATTTCAGTGTGGGTAAGTTCGAAAACCCTTAAGATCTTCATAGATTGTGTTTAGAAGTACGATTAAGATGTTTTTGAGATGTTTTTGTGTTTTTTGGACGCATAAATACCCCAAGAGTAACAAACCCATTTTTCCGACGGAGGTCCAGTGTCAGTCGAGTCGTTTTCCGACCAACTATAGCCACGGTCGAGGAAACCAAAGGTATATTCCAATTCCTTGTTCTCTGAGCTTCAATTTGATATGTTAGAAGGCTAGGTTTAGTGAAGTTTTTTTTTTATTGGTCAGAGCTAGAATTTATCCCAGCCATCTCATTTCTAAATTTCGGCGATTGCAGTGGTAATCGACCGGAAAAGAAGAAGGAAAAAAAATGACAAGAAAAGGGAAGCCCAGATCTGCGACCCAGATCAGAAACCGAACCTGGGATCTAGTTTTAAAATGCATATGGAATATCCCCTAGAATATTCTTTAGAATATTCTTTATGTTGACTTTTATGAAATTTTCTCGGAAACCCTCCTAGGCTAATTTCGATGTCTTGAGTCCATTTTTTTACATCTATTTAGTAAAATTCCAAAGTTTTAACGTAATCGACTGTCGAGGCGGCTTGGTTGACTTTTCAGGGTTGACCGTTGACTTTTTATAAAATTTGTCTAGGACCCTTCTTAGCGTATCTCGACATTCTGATTCCAAATCTGCACTCCGTTTTCTCAAATTTGATCATTTAAGTTGAATTTTACTAATGGATCCCAATATTATGCTTAGGTGTAATTACTATCGGAGACTTTGACTTTCTTAGTTCGAAAGGATGTGACATCGCAAATATCTGTGAGTGGGTTTTTTCTTTTATATAGTGTGTGTGTGTGTGTGTGTATATATATTTGTTAGTTTCCATTTATATATTTGATAAATAATTTTCTACGTTACACCTAGATTAGGGTAACGTATATAAAAATTAACGTATTGACGGAATTCATGCAATTATACTTTGTCCTATGGGATACACATGTATGGGTATTAGTATGGATGCCTTAATGGTATTTACGGTTATGAATAGTATTTCATTGACTAGGGTTATTGAATTATCGAATTATCGATATACCATTGCATGATCATATTTGCGTTATCTACTCATCATGTGTTGCACTGGTGTTAGTACTTGCCCGGACCAAGGCCAGTCTTTCACGTGTATGTTCACATCACACCGTACACTCATTTTGGATTCATTGTAGGTGCCAGTCCTGTCGTAGATTGCTATACGCAATTAAGACTCGTATGTGATGCGCATAACACCAGTCTTCACGTGATTGTAGTACTAGAACATAAGTCATTATTACTCCTAGTCCTGTTCATGTCAGAATATCTCTACATGAACTCGTGTGTCAGCATATGTCAATGAGCACTCAATATGATATGTTCATTTATGAGAGAATATGTGATTACGAACGTCATGTGTTTATTTATGAAAATTTGTGACGTATTGCATTCTTGAGATATTACAGGCTTTGGTAAGTATTTTCATACTATACGTAGTATGTATATTTTGGAAACTATGTTTGTTTTACGGCGAGGGGTTATTATATTTTCAAAAAGGTTTTTACAAAGCTTTATTTTCAGGCCCACTCACCCTTATTTTTTGCCCCTCTAGGTTTTAGTGGCTGAGCTTCCATGTCGACAAGGATTTCTGGCAAACTGTTGTGTTGGGAATACTACCGATGGTATAATTCTTCTTTTACCTTTATTGTACTTTACTTATGCTCTGATATCACGAGTGGAATGGGTTCATTCCTACTCACATGCGCACTCTTACATTTAGGCATTTTAGGTTTACATTTACTCACATTTTCCACATCACTACACTTTATAGCTTCATCACATTTCTGGTGTTGGCTAGCATAACTCGATTCAGAGTCCAGGTGGACATCCTGAGTCAGGGTATGTCCCTTCATGTAAGTATTCTTCAATTGTAATTACTATCTTACACATTAAAGTATCATGGTTATTATTTCAATGTTATTATTAATATTTTATGTTATATTACACAGGCGATGATGATGGAGAAGAGGCAGTTGGTTCTTCAGGAATTGGCCTCCCAACTTTCTCCCGAAACTCCGATCGAGTATATGGATCCCCTCGAGGATGCGAGGTTTCAAATCCTTACAAATACCTTGGGTTAGACTCTCGAGCGGAGGCTAGGGATGTATTGTAGGGGGATGGGGAAGCAGGAACCTAGAGCCTCTTCATCCTCCTAGTCGAAGGGCGAGGTGACAGCTTTGACAGAAGAGGTGGCCGGCCTTAAGAGTGAGCTTGCCTCGTATAAGAGCCAGATGTCACTGATCGTAAAGGCCCTTAGTGAGTCCGGCATTCGTCTCCCAGATATTCGTATCCCATCGATGTCCAAGTCCCTCCAACCCGAGCATGCCTAGAACTCCGCCCCTTTGACCTTTGAACCCGTCCTTATCCCCGAGGTCTTCTTGTCCCAATATTTCCAGCCGCCTGCGAACGACGACCCCCTTAGATTATTCCACCTTCTTTTCTTAGCTTTTAACTCCCTTACTTTTTAAACTTTTTCCTTGTACATACATTTCCTTTTTATTTTCAATAAATTATTTTTCTCTTCATTACATTTTTTTATTGCAATTTAATTTCATTATTTTATTGCAAAATTAAAACCAGAACAAAAAAATAAATTTAAAAAATATATATTTTATTATTTGCTCGACGAATATCTTCGTCTTGCATAATTTTTTTCGACTAATCCGTTTGCATCATGCAAGAATAACATGTTGTCGCGCAAAGTTCTTAGAGATGAACATTAGTCATCCCATGTATGTATCTTGTCACATCCCAGCCTGGGTCCACCACTTCCCGGGCCTGTTCCACCACCGTAGCACGGTATTGTCCGCTTTGGGCTTACCATTCCTTCACGGTTTTGTTTTTGGGAACTCACGAACAACTTCCCAGTGGGTCACCCATCCTGGGAGTGCTCAGGCCTTCTACTCGCTTAACTTCGGAGTTCCTACGGAACCCGAAGCCAATGAGCTCCCAAAAGGCCTTGTGCTAGGTAAGGATGAGAATATACATTTAAGGATCACTCCCCAGGGCGATGTGGGATGTTACAATCCACCCCCCTTAGGGGCCCGACGTCCTCGTCAGCACACTTCCGACCAGGGATTGGCTTTGATACCATTTATCACATCCCGGCCCGGGTCCACCACATCCCCGGCCCGTTCCACCACCGTAACACGATATTGTTCGCTTTGGGCTTAGCATTGCTTCACGGTTTTGTTTTTGGGAACTCACGAGCAACTTCCCAGTGGGTCACCCATCCTATGAGTGCTCTGGCCTCCTACTCGCTTAACTTCGGAGTTCCTACGGAACCCAAAGCCAGTGAGCTCCCAAAAGACCTCGTGCTAGGTAGGGATGAGAATATACATTTAAGGATATCTGCCACTAAAATAGATCAACACAACCAAGGATCACAAAGTGAATTTGTCACAAAAAACGGTAGCATGCAATGAGTCCTTTATATGAAGCCATCACAAACACGAGATCACCACAATCGCCGAAGCGACACAAACAAATCATTGAAGCAACACAAAAGCTACTAAGCTAACCTGGTTTAAGCACTACAAGCAAAGTATATGAAAAAAAAAATAAAAACTAAGCTAATTAAAGCCAATAACTTTTCCACAACGAAGTCTCGAGTACAAATGTGGCATGAGGCAAGCATAGCAGGGATATATAGGTCGGGTGTGGGTTAACAACAAATAGAGGCTTGGGTGGCAAAGGAGTTGCATGCCAAGGACACTGTCGTTACTGCACCACGAACCCATAACCTACATAAATAGTTAGCACTAGAAGCCGTCAAGGGTATCCGCCAACTGGAAGTGGAAGATGACGTTTTAGAACACCAATGTCGCGTGGATCATAGCTTGACAAAGGGAACAAAGAGTGGAGCGAAATGAAGGAATGCATGCCAAAGCCATTAACGGCACCACAATGATATCGTTGCCCACCACCATCATAAGATGAAAAATACCAACGGACCGAACTTTAGCCTCCAAGGGTAAGGCCTAGGAACCCCAGCTACTTGAGAGGGAGTTGCAATGACTTTAAATTTGCAAATGGTACCGACACGAATACTCGAACAACCACTATTGTGAAACACAAACAACACACTCAATAGTTTAGAACCAACAAAATTAGGCCAAAATCATTAAGATACATCATCGCATAATGGAACAAAACTAGAAAGAGATGTTGGATAAGCTATTACAGAAGAGAAAAAGGGAGGCAAGGTAAGGCGTGAGGCAAGTCAGCGAGATGTGTGAGATGAGAGGGAAGAAAAGAAGGGGTGGATGGGGAAGGAAGACGATAAAGAGAAAAGAGAAGAAAAAAAAAAGTGGTTGTCGTTGACTTCAAGCCATAGCATAGGGTCAACAACAGTGATATTTTGAATCTAAGGTTTTTCTTTGAGGAGGAAAGAGGGATGTGACTCGGAGATAGAGAATTGGTAAAAAAAAAAAATATCTGTTTTAAAAGGCCCATAAAGATAAAGAGCAGAAAACACGTGAGACTCATTCTGGTTTCTTAACCTTGCAAACTTTTTTGTTGTCGACCCCAACATTTCGCTTGGGTGCCGGTGGTTGTACTTGTCCAAGTTTCTTGTTCTCATATTCCCCTCTTTCTCCTGATCATTTTCTTTCTTTTTCATTTTTCCCCTAAGATTTTTCTCTGTTTCCTTGAGCTTTGTCTCAAAATTTCCCATGAGTTTGGCTTACTTTTGGACTTCATGTCCCTTATGTCCACCTCTCCCTTTCTTCTGGCCGTTCTTTTCCAAACCCAAAACTCCATCTCCCCTCACTTTTTCCCTCTGCCTCCATTCCCCATAAACCATCCCACCCCATCCTTTGCTCTGATCTGTAGACTCTGGTCGAATATGGTTGCCAGCTTTATTTCTCTCCCTCACTGTCTCCCTCCCCCCAAACGGCTTGCTGGATTTCCATCAAAGCCAAGTGAAATTCGGCTTCGGCCAAAGTAAGGGTATTTTACATACCCTCTTAGCCTCACCTTTTATCCATGTGTTACTGTGTTTGTATATATTTGCTAGGATTCGTGAATGGGATTTGGATATGGTGACTATCTTTTAGTTATGTGTCTTTGGTGAAGAAATCTGGATGTGGTGTGCTTCTTGTTGCTGGTTTGGTACTTTTGTGCAGCGATGTCTTGTTCGTTTTCACCACAAGGTCATTTTCTCTAGTGTTGCTGTTTCGATAGCTACTGGCAAGACTTTTGTGGCGATGATGCCGGGAAACGCTGTTTTCTACGATCAGAAATTAGGGATTTGGGTTTCCGGTTTAGTTTATTTAATTGGACTGGGCTTTTATGTATATGTTTCCCTCCAATGTATTTGAGTTATTTTGTTTTCCTTTGAGTTGGCTTATAACCTAGTATCGGATTAATGCATTTATCTATTCAAACCAACAAAAAAAAGAAGCAAGCCATAAAGATGTTTTACACGCTCCCCTTTTTCAGAATTTTTAGAAATTTTCCTTTTCTTTGTACTTGTTATTGGACTTAACTGGCCACTTAGTTTTAATTGCATTCAAGCCTTTCCCTTCCAAACACTCAAGCCAATTTCGAGTTCTTGTCAAGTAATCTCTTTTATCTTGAGTGATATATTTGCTTGTAACATATATTACTCGAGAGGGTGGTGAAGAGTGTGAGTTTTTTTTTCTCAAAATGTCTCGAACAATAGGAATTAGGCAAAACAAAGGTTTTGATTCAACTAAAACTATAGTGTCAATAAAGTGTTTGGACAAGTACAAAGATGACAAAATTTTTTTTTTTTAAAATGGCCTCCAGAAAATGACATTTTTACGAGAATTTCAAGTAATTTGTGAGTAATATTATGTATACACATATAATTGATCGTATTAATGATAGTCTCGACCCACTTCTACTAGGATGGTGATAAGTCTTATTTTCAAGGTAGGTTGAAATGAGAAATTAAAAATTTGTGGAGCACTTGAAGATAATAGATGGACTACTCAATAAGAAAAATTATTCATTCAAATCCTGCCCAAATGAGAGGATTAGAAGGAAAACGTTTCCTTCATATCTAATTATAATATTCTCCTAATCCCTCAAAATTAAAAATTATTCTCCTCTATCTTCAAAAACTGTAAAATTCAGAGGATTATTCATTCCAATCCAATCTTCTAAGGCTGTAGCACAAATATTCTGTATAAGAGAGTGTAAAAATTGAACATGACTTTAAAACCAAGCAAAGCTTTGCCTTGTAAGAAAGGATGTGCACTCTTGTTGGGCTTTTCATTGGGCTTGATGGAGGTCAGCCCTCACCAACAATGCAATGTGAAAATAGGCCGGGCCCAGAAACTAAAAGTCCAATCTAATCCAACATAAACACAAAGCGACGTCGCTTCGTAGAGCCAGAAACCTCCTTCTCTTTCCGTTTGGAGAGCAGAGCAGCTTCCTCAACCTCAACGAGCAATTCACACACCAAGGTAATCGCATTTTTTATTTATTCAAAGTTACGATTTTTAAATTGGGAAGTAAAATGAAATTGGGGAGTCCTTTGTTCGGCTGATTAGGGCATAAATTTCAATTAGGGTTCGATGGATGTGTTTGGGTACTGTGAATATTGGGATTGAATCAATTTTAGGAACGGAATTCAATCTTTTTGCAAATTTAGTTGGGAAGTTGGAGCCTTTGGAATTGGAAATTAAAGGTTTCAATCCATAATTCTGAAATTTGATTGCTTTATTAACTGAAACTGAAATTTACCTCTAAATTGTGATTCAATCCTTATTTCTGAAATTTGATTGCTTTATTAACTGAAACTGAAGTTTACCTCTAAATGTGATCAAAGAAACTGAAATTTTACCCATTAAAACTGAAATTTTATCAGTGAATTGGAGTTAGGGTTAGGAAACATATGGGTTTTAAGCAGACAGGTTGATATTGCACTTGCAGATGAATTGAAAGGTGTATGTTGTATTTCTTGTTATGAAAGTAAGAATATCTTTTCGGTTTCGATAAAGATAAGTGTGGAGTCTCTCATGTTCTGCATTCTGTTGTTCTTAGGTTTGTAAACTTGAAAAAAAGAATAATGGATGAAAGTTTTTTTCAATTTTATACTGAAGTGATCCCTGGTTCATTATATTGTGATGCAGAAATATTTGCATCAGCTGTACTTCTATTATCCCGTTTATCTTGCGGGAAGTTCTAAATGTGAATTTTACGAAGAAACAGACATTTAAATAGCCTGATTTCTGTTTATCAGATTCGCCTTTGAAGAGTGTTAGAGTGGTCTGAGATGGATGCATCACAGAACACAACTGGAATCGGTGGGAGTGGCGGAAACGGAACATTGGTCCCTCAAACCAATGATACAACTGGATCGGCAGTGGTTGATGATCCAAAGCAAAACCTGAATCAGGTCATTAACTCTATTCAGAAAACTTTAGGCCTCGTTCACCAGCTCTACCTCACAGTGTCTTCGTTCAATGCCGCGTCTCAGCTTCCCCTCCTCCAACGCCTGTAATTTCTCTGTCTGAGCTTATTCGATGTTTATTCAAACCTTTTTTTCTCAATATATTTTATTGTTTCTTGGTGACCTTCTCACATTGGGTTTGACCTATTAGAAATGCCCTTGTTATGGAGCTTGACAACATGGCTAAGCTGTCAGAAAAATGCAATATCCAGGTTCCTATGGAAGTTTTTAAGTGAGGCTTCTCCTGTCATTTGCTTTTAACAACTGACAATTCCTTTTCTGTGGAGAAGTTCTGACTTTTGACTTATTTGTTTTGCCTAGTTTGATCGATGACGGGAAGAATCCTGATGAATTCACGAGGGATGTCATTAATAGCTGCATTGCTAAGAATCAGATCACTAAAGGAAAAACCGATACCTTCAAGGTAGGTTTTCCCGCGTGAAAATTATTGTTTAGTTCCATTTTGGTGTTTGAAGTTTGTCATGATTCAACATACTATCCACATTTTGTCAGAGTTTACGCAAACATCTTCTGGAGGAACTTGAACAGGCATTTCCAGATGAAGTTGAATCTTACAGAGACATACGTGCTGCATCTGCTGCTGTAAGATACTTTGAATTCGCCCAGAAATATCTTCGTAAATGTCCTTTGCTTAAGCATATTGTTTTTGTCTAAGTTAAGTGAAGATAGTCTTCAATGGACCCTTTCATCCCTTTGGTCATTCGTCCATATCAAACAACCTTTCTCTGAAGGTTTACCTATTTTCAATTAAATCTGCTACCGAAGTGTTAACAAAAACTCAGCAGAAGCCAGCTTGTTTTGTTGATATTTCATTCTCATTCTCTGAGAAAACCGGAGCCTTCTTTGGAATCATCCATATTACCATCTCCGTGTGTTTAATTATCATCCTCATATGGTTTAAAATCTTTTTATATGATACAGGAAACAAAACGGCTTGCACAAGCACAGAGCACACTACCAAATGGAGATGTGAAGGTCAAGCCGGAGCTTTAAGTGTATGATAAGTTTATGTATCATGTTCTTACCGTCCACATTTTGGCATGCTTTTAATTACTGTTCAACTTTTCATGACTCTAGTGATAAAGATCATTTGTGTCTACACCTATTTGCCTGAGACTTTGTCAATTTACATTGTAATATAGTAACGAAGTTTGTAAAAATCATGTTATTGTGTCGTCTTGTTTATCGTTTGTGAAGTTTACTCGTTTGGGTGCATGATGTTACTTAATTCCAAATTAGACAGGAGAATGTGTTGGTCTTTTGAGAATTGAGTACAATTTAAATAGTTGTCTGTTGGTTAGGTTAGGTTCAGGCTTTCAACTGGCAACAAACTAATGAGATACAGTCCAATTTGGTTCGGTTTAGGTCTATAACTAAAAAGTCCGTTTAGTTACTGATTTGGTATTTAAAGTGGATATGTTTTGGAAGAAGTTTGTCGCTCAATTGGTCAACAGCATCCATCTTTGTACCTGAGATTTCGAGTTTGAATCCTCCATCTCTAGCATCGCTTGTATAAGAAACTAATTGGACTTGCTTAACATTTATACCGTCAAATATAAAGTTTGAGCCTAAATTCAGAAGGGTTTATGATTTGGGCCTTCAAATTAATCAGCTATTCTGCACTCCTCAATTTTGGAAACCAAAAAATCCAACAAAATAATCTGGTAGTGAAAACTTGGGAAAATGATTCTGGTCGGATTCTTTTCTTGGGATCCTAAGGATCTCGTAATTGTGACTGTTCATTGTAAATTGTGCAGTTATAAATTATTTTAAAATTTTAAATTTTAAATTAAATATGAATAATACCTAACGAAAACTGATCGCACGATGTACGATAAACGATCATGATTATAGAATTTCTAGGGTCCTTTGGAAAAGGATCCGAAGAGGATCATTTTCTGAAAACTTGCCCACAAACCAAACAAAATTTGGAAATTAAAATAAAAGTCCAAACTGACACATTGGGACTGGTAGTTTTTTTAAACAACAATATTGCCAAATGTTTTGCCAGTAATCTGTCTTCAGCAGCATCTGCCTCTCTCAGATGTTTCATTGGACCATTTATATAAAAATCAAATTCGAAACTTAATCCGTCGTGATGTGTATGTCTGAGTTTGAAATTTGCAAAGTTTGAAAGTATATTCACACACACACACACACACACACACACACACACACATATATATATATATATATATATATATATATATATATATATATATATATATATATATATATATATATATATATATATATATATCTTATTTTTAACTACGCCTTTTAGAACTTGATTTTAATCTTATTTTACTCTCTGTAACTCAAAAGTTCTTACTTTATTTCTTGAAACTCAAGTTTGCTTCACTTTGTCCCCTAGAACTCTTGATTCCATTTTATCTCTTGGAACTCGATTTTGATCATATTTTGCCCCTTGAAACTTGAAAATCGTATGTATAACACTCAAATTCTCCACATTGCCTTAGATTTTTTAATTTCTTATGTGGATTTGATTTCGGTGCACTAGTCTAATCAATTTATTTTTTTTTATTTTTTTCATCTCTTCAATTTAAAAAAAAAAAAAAACTTAATATGATCTGATGTTGGATGTTAATGCATAATAGAGATTTATAATCAAATTTATTGTACATGTGGCATAGTCTTATTGGGTGTTCAGTTCCACATATGTTTCCAGAGATGGCCTATAAGTTTTAGGGAGAAGAGAGAATCCACAAGTCAAAGTGGAACGAATTTTGAGTTTTAAGGAGTAAAATTGTGACTTTTGAATTATAGGGAGCAAAGTGAGATTAAAGTGGAGTTTCATGAGGCATCGCTAAAAATAAATGTGTGTGTGTGTGTGTGTGTGTGTGTGTTGGGGGCGGAGTGGTGGCACCATATTTCTTCCACAAGTTTTGACACAAGTTAGAGGCAATTAGATTCATACGTTTTCAATGGTTGCGATGGAATGTTATTTGTCAATTTAATTTTTAATTTAAATAATTATGATCCAACCCATATATAAATTAATTATCTAGGACTTATGTCAAAATTTATGGAAAAAATGTAGTGCCACGAATCCAACTCATATATATTATATATTAAAAATAAAATAGAGACCCCCACCCAAATATTTTGGTTTTATTTTCTACGTTGTGTAGTTCGCAAAGAATCTTGTTTGCTCAATCAATGTCAGGCCAGCTACTTCGTTTGGAGAGATTTTTTAGTGTGATTGGTACACAGGGTAGTATATCACATGTCATTAAACAAATAGTGGGATATGTGTGCAAAAAAGTTAATAGCTTAAAAAATAAAATTTTTCACCATTCATATTAAAACACGTGATATACTAATTATGTTCCCGTCATAACTAAAAATTTCTTGATATACTATTTATGTTCCGGTCATAACTAAAAATTTCTTGGTTTGGGGTGGGAGAAAAACAGCGAGTGCAAAAGGGCCGTCACCTTTTTCACCTTTTTTAACAAATTACAACTACTCTTGCACATTCATTTTCTTAATGTTTAATTTGTATGAGAACGAGGCCAATTGCTTCATTCTTTAAAAGCAAACGAGATTATTTTAATCAAGGGGAATTACTTTAAAGCTTTTCTGCTTACAAAGTGCTTTCAAATTCAGCTTAATAAGTATTTGATTTGAAAAAAACTTTGTAAATGTTTATGATTTGATGATTAGTGGGACCCATATTTAGAAGTGTTATCTAATGATTTCCTGCCCAGTATGGAATGAGTAAAAAATAAAACTACAAGTCTCAATCTATACACAATACACTAGGTTTTTGTGATTGGGGTAACTCAAGAAACACGCCGGCCACTAACGAAATGTTAGGTGGCGTTTGCTTCTGTGTTATGACTTCACGTAGTTGTATTAGTGTCTGGTGCATTGTTGAGCAACAAAATTATAATTCCACTTAGAGAGAGCGGATACATAAACTTAGTCCGAACAACAACAACATTACGAATAAAGTCAGGAGACACCTCGAGTGCATCATAAGTTTAGAGAGAAACTATACATTAAATCCTCAATTTCCATCATAAAATTGCACGAATGATAGAAAAGATATAAGTTGAGATTACAAATTGGCCACAGCAGGTATTGAGGTGTGTAAGTGAATTTTTGGAGAGGAAATGGAGAGAGAGAGAGAGAGAGAGAGAGAGAGAGAGAGAGAGAGAGAGAGGAGACAATGCCGTTAATATGTGTGGTGGGAATTGGGAAAGAACAAAAATCTAGGTGAAGTTTGGTGTCCGACTAAAGATGCTTTTAAGGTCAATCACCATGAATTTAGGGAGCTCGGGAAAAGAGAAATGCAAATCTCATGAGATAGGGTCAAAGAGGTGACTTCAGGTCAATGGACACCTTGTTTATGTGGTCCTGAATCCAACCAAAATGTTGGCATGCTTCCTATTAATTGTGTTCTCTTAACTTTTATTCTTTGGATTGCCTAATCCTGAGAAAACAATAGTTGTAATGGTGAATTGGAGAAAGGAGAATTGAATTCAAGACTTCAAGTGCATGAAGAATGTTCTTAATTAATCGACTTACAAAACTCTTATATGTTGTTTAAATTTATACTGTCCAATAGTTTTGTAGCTATGCATTATATACATAATATGGTTGTTACTTGTAAAGATGTGTACGTAAACTTGATTTCTGATTTTCCTCAAACTTGTTTATCTTATTCAATCAACTTGGTCACCAATTAAGCACCTAATTTGCAGTTAGCTAGATTTCGATCCTGCATTTTCAAAATTATGTTTCTGTCGTTGCTGCGGGTTCCTTGACAAAGTTTGAACGCTAGCTTGTAGCCAAATGATAGTTGATCTATAACTTGAAAGGCCATCGCCTTATATTTTGTCAGATGTGCTACATGATAAATAAACGTCAATTTGTAGTTGGCATGGATTTGACAACTCATGCCTTATAAATTCATAAGCAAAGAAATATCATAAATGGTAGAAAGAGGGTTTGAATCCAGAACACACATTGAGTTAAAAAAAATACATAAGATTTTTGTTTAGATCAAATAAAACTTTATTAACAACAATAAACGTACATAGAGCATACATACCAATGAAACCAAGAGGCAACACCCAGTTGAAAGAAACACCACAACTTTACAATTGCTCATCAAGAATTCGTTACAATTCATTGGCCACATCCAACATGAAAGATAACACTCATGAGAACTAAATCTTGCAAATTGTTGAACAACCTACCATAAAGGCATCACTAAAAAAGATTGCACTATTCATTTGATGAATGCAATGGTCGACAAAGAAGTATTGCTCTGATTCACCAACAAACGTCAAGCTTCCTCATCATAGTCTTTTGCCATGCCCACAAAACCATAAGAAATACCAAAAACATCATCTCATATCTAAACAACATTTACCACTCAAAAATCCAAGTTTGAGTATAAATGCTACAAGGGCTCTACTCAACATTGTGAGAGATCAGTGATAATCATGATGACTCTTCTCGTCTATCACGAAGGCTTTTCTTGCCTAAAGCAGCCACAAGTAGGAGTTAAAAGACAATTACAACATAAGAGAAATATGGGAAAATAGGGAAGATACCAAGAGAGACTGAGTCGACCCCAATGCCAAAGGAAAGGATTTAGATAATTTTTTTTCTCTGTTTTTCTCTCTAACGGCTAGAGTTTTCCCTAAATTACATAAGAATGGATTCTACAATCTGTACACTCATTTAATTAAGATTTACTTTAACTAAACAAAAGCGTATCAATAACAATGGGGTAGATCAATGCTTTTAGTTACTAATGGTTTTTTTTTTAATAAGTATAATAGAGACAAGAGAGAAGTTATGTGTCAATAATAACCGAGAACAATTCTAGCATTACTAGTCCGTGTGTTTATAATTATTGATGATAATTGACCTTAGAACGATTAATGGTTAAAAGACGATGATTAAGTGAGCTAAAACTTCATTTAACTAAATTCAATTGATCAAACAAAAAAGTATAACCAAATAATGATGATAAGATAACAGAAGATATAAAATTTATAATTAGTAACAGAATGCAAGGTAGATTTGCTTTCAATTAAGCTAAGTACAAAACATGACATAGGTAATGTTGGAGTGGGAATGGGAGGACCATACTATGAAAACTAGACCAGCAAGCACCTGAATAATAATGAGCTGTAAGCCTGTATGTATCTGTAATGCTGACTCCTCTCTCTCTCTCCCTCTCTCTCCACAACTTTTTATTTGTCAGTCACTCTCTGTCGTCATCTTGAATCCCCCGCGACCGTAGTAAAAAGGAGTGAGAACCCACTGAACGAGGGATTCCCCTTTTCGTGAATATATTAAATGTTTTACCAAACTCTGCATTAATCAAATTAATTAAAAGAATGAGAACAATGTATGCAAGCAAAGGAAAAGTGGAAGACCCCAAAATCCCAAAATTTCCTATATAGGGGTTGCTGAATTAGCTCAACTAAACCACTGACTCATCCTTTTGGTTGCTTGTTTTTGCGTCTCATCTTTATCATGTTCGTCATCACCATCGTACGGCTCACAATGGGGTTTCATTTTTAGAGTTTTGATAACTACTATTCATCCTCATTAATATATACACACACATATAATATGTAGAGAAAGGCTGGTTTGTTTAAGCTTGGCTGAAATGCGTTTTTGTTAATGTTAAAATCTTTGGGTAGAGATTGATGATGGAATTAGTGTTTTAGGCGATGATATAATTAGGTCATGATGATTTAGCAGCAGAGAGAGGGGCACCCCGGGGGGGGGGGGGGGGGGGGGGGGGGTGGGGGGGGGGGGATGATTTGAAATTAACGTGTAAAGTTTGTGTGTTTTTGGTGAGGCTGTGTGTATATATAGATTGCGTGGTGGAGACGATGGGACAAGAGTGAGAGAGAGAGCGAGCGAGCGAGCGAGTACAGAGAGAGAGAAGGGTTTTTGTTTAGTAGGGGTCATTTCTTTTGTTTGTGTTTTTTTTTTTTTTTTGGTCAGGGTCGTGGTCATTTCTGTAACCCAAGACCCAGTTGGTGGGGTCTCTGCGACTTTAATTTACTTCGTCCTTTTTACCTTCCCCCATCTCACTCCCAAGACTCGGCCTTTTTATCCCTATCCTTCCCTTCTCCTCACCTCTCGTACCACCCATTTCATTTCTCTCATTCACCATGATCACACACACACCACTCCCCCCGCCCCTCTCTCTCTCTCTCTCTCTCTCTCTCTCTCTCTAGTTCATCGTTAGGGCAAAGCGCTTTGTGAAAATGGAGGCAGATAGATCGAAGAAGAGGAAGCAAATTTGTTTTTTTGAGGGGAATGTTGTCTGGCTCGAGGCCCCTTAACTAGATCTATGATCTTCATCTCAATTGGTGACAATTTTATCCACCAATCTTAAAAAATTATAGTCCCAGTTGAGAAAGATCATTGATTCTACGTTTAGTGACGTCGGACCAGGCTTCATTCCCCCCAATTACCGCTTCCAATCACTCAGATCTTCACTACCCATCTCATATTTTTACCCCGATCATCCAAAGGTGAGATCTTTTTAGATTTAAGCTGCTTTTTCCCAGCCTTTATATTTGTCTATTTTTATGAACTTTATTTACCTTTTCATTTTCTGACGGCTTTTTAATTTTGTTGAAGAAATTGTACATGGGTTGTTGGGCAGGCAGAAGCAGATTGGTGTAATGATGAAGGGTTTTGACTGCTATTTTATGTTTTTTTTTTCCATTTAACTCTGACGAATGTGGGGAAAGATCATGATTACTCTTTTATTTTTATCTCTAAATTTCATGAATATGAGCAGCACCTATGCAGGGTTGCGTTTTCTTTGTCAGTTTTTAACTCTTTCAACAGGTTTTCATATCATTGGGCTGGTTTTTTTCCATGATGGCTTCAAGAATCTTCTCTGTCTACTTCTGCTCTCTCTCTAATCCCACCACACTAACTTTTAATTGGCTTCTTTCTATTTGGCTACGACAACCCTAATTTTACTTTTGCATTATAGCACCATAGCCTTCCCGTAGGGCTTCCACTTTTCACACTGCTATTACTGTCTCTCTCTTGATTGAATAACGTTGTTCAGTCACCTTAAACATTTTAATTTAAGTTTCCTTCTGATTAATATTTCTTATACCGCATAATGCTGCAAAACATGCGTTTGATCTTTGTTCTTTTAAATTTGCTTGTTTCGTTGTTAGCTGTAGTGGGTTTGGTGGATTAATTCAGCTTTAGAGCTTTGTAATATCCAGAGCTTTGTCTTGTTTCTACTTTATCTTAATCATCCATTAATTAACATTTATTTGTCAGATTATATTGGATTTTTTTTCAGATCGGAGTGATCTTAAAGACCAGATTCTTTCTTGATTTTGTTATTTTATATTTGTGTATGTGTATTCAGTTTGCTTTGATGTTTTTACAGTAGCTGTGAAAGATGTGGATCACTCTGATCATATCACGCAAAATGTAAAGAAAGGAATAATATATCAAGGGTGACAGATGTGAGTGAGATGTATGCCAAAGTTGTATCTGCGAAGCAATCCAGTTGCTAACACTGTTGAAATTACCCTCTTTAAACTTTGAGTTGTCTTCAAACACAATGTGATTTTGACTGTGCTACCAGGAAGAAAATGCCATGTAAAAGAATTAAAGGAAAAAAATATGTGATAAATTGGACCTATCTGACTCTGGCTTGATTCAGCACCCTAAATTAACTCCTCTTGCTCATAAGTTGTTAACTAGTAGCTTGAGTTTCATACTTCAATTGTCCTGGTGTTATTATACATACATACAAACTATGAATTAATAAAATTGTTTTTCTAGACCATGAATATCTTTTGGAAAATTCGAAGGGTTAAAGGAACATTGTACATACGTGCTTCACACATAACACTAATGAATTGGCTGATATTGATTATCATCAATCTACAATCTTTACGTATTATCCATATTTAGCTGATACATAATTATGATCAGGACATACTGAGGATCGACCATATATATCGACATTATGCAACTACTTGTGTAGAATGGTATTGGCACTAAATTAACAAGCTTTTGCCTTGTTTATAATATCTGCTTAATCTTTATCATCTTCTAAAGAAAATTAAGACTTTCAAACTTTGTATTAACTTAGTACATATCGGCCAAATGTCAATAGTTGGACTCCTTGTGTAGAATGGTATCGGCACTAAATTAACAACCTTTTGACGTAATATGTGCTTAATCTTCATCGTCTTCTTAAGAAATTTAAGGTTTCAAACAATATATTAACTTAGTAAATATCGGCCAAATATATGTATCAACAATGGAACTACTTGTGTAGAGTGGCATTGTCACTAAATTAACAAGGTGTCTAATGCGCTTAAGATTTTAAACATATAATATTAACTTCATATCAACAATGTAACAACTTGTGTAGAATGGTACCAGCACTAAATTAACAAGTGTTTCGCTAATGTATAATATTTTCTTAATCTTCCTCTTCTTAATTTGCTTAGGATTTCATGGCACATTGTAACTCATTGCTCTCAAAATGTGTGACAGTGTGAAAGGGAAAGGTGGGGCGGCCTGTATAGGGTTGTGATGATTTCGTGTATGATTTCCTCTAGTTTGCTGTCATACAGGACTTATATCAGGGCACAGAAAATTGTTACAAAAAAGGAACAGAGGATGATGAAATTAAAAAAGTGATTGGAAATTTTGGAAGGGAAGGGCAATGAATTTTATTTATTTTATTTTTTTAACAAACAATATTATCTACACTAAAAGGTAGGGGATAAAATTAGTCTCATAATGGGCTAGCAATAATATGGTTCAAATTCATTTTTGACGATAACCAAACTTAAGACCTCTCACTTACAAATAAAGAGGAATATCACTAGACCGTAACATTAAGTGGCGAAGGGCAACGAGTCAAAATTGAATCAATGTTGGGGGATTTTCTAGCATGCTCCCTGTCTCGGGTATTTTATACTCCGGGAGTTTTGGCCGTTAGGTCATTGATTATCAAGAATTAACGGCACAAAAAACCTGAAATATAGGATACCCGAACATAATCAAAGTTTTATGATGACCAGCCGTGATGGTCTGGTGTGTAGTGCATTGTATGACTCTCTCTCTCTCTCTCTCTCATGCAATATATTTTCTGTCATCAATTTCTGAACATGGTTGCATATGCAACACTAAATGCCTTTAATGGCTTCCCTGACTTTTCCAGAAATCTGAATCATTTTGCCATAATTACAAAGTACAGTCAACATCAGCAGTTACGCCATGGATTCCTCCTTTTCCCTGACTCTGATATATGGCATTGTCCGTGTACTAATTACTCGGACTGTGATGTTTCAATTTCGCACAACTGTTTGTGTTTCCACGGTAACCAAAACCCAATGCCACCATGTTATATATATGAAACCTTTAAGGGAAGGAATCCTTTTTTTATATATATATTTTATATTTTATATTTTATAATAAAAATGAGAATTAGTTGTGGAGTCCATACCACATCAAACTTTAATGATCCAAACCGTCTATTTTTCAAGTTGTACCTCATAAATCATTATTGCAAAGTATTAGCCAAATTGAAAATGTTTAAGACATTTAATTGAGTTCAAAGAAATTAATGAATACTTTGTTATATAAGAAATAATTTAAATTTATATTGATAATTAAATAGACAAATGGTTTCGAATTGAATTGAATTTTTGCAAAGATGATCTACGAAATGAAACTTACAAAATAGACGGTTTTGATTATTGAAGTTCGATGTGGAGTGAGCCCCACACCTAAAGAGACCATTTGAAAAACTTTGTAATTAGAACTACTCGAGTACAAAAGAAATGTCGGCTTAAATGGTGCAACCCGTGGTTCGCATACAAACCTCATCATCTGATTCATGCAGGAAGAAACGAAGGGAAGCTGCATTTTCAGATTTTGGTTCTGTTAATATATTTAGACCATTTATGGAACTAATTAAATTTTATATTATTCGTTTCTTTCGATCTTCAAGGAAGCTATACGAGCTTTCTTGTTCTTGTGTCTAAGTTCCTCATAGACAAAGAAATAACTGAGTTGGGATCGATGACAAGACTGCTTTTTTTTAGTCATGATTACAATACTAACCACGGCCATGCATGTCTCTCTATTTTCATGCATTTTAATAAGAAAAAGAAAACCCACCAGATGGAAAAGGAATTAAGGACTTTATAAAGTATTTTTGTTGTGAAAGACCTGTAGGTTCAACAGTAGCGAGCAATTACCTTCATTCTTAAGTCTTAATATCAGCATTCCTTGTTGAAAAAGTTGGCAATTTAGTATTTTTATGTTAAGTTATTTGTTGTATTCTATGTATTAGGGTTTTCTATTACGCAAATAATTTTTATTACTTTCCTATTTTTGTAAGTAGAGTTTAATATTGCTTTCCTGTTTGTTTCAAGATTAAATATCTACAAATACACCTCTTGTAACTCTGTAGGAATTAGGCCTTAGCAAGATGTAGTCTTTTCGTAGTACAGTTTGTTTTGGAAATTTTGTGGTACAAATTTCAAATTTTCCTAGTGTTCTTACTTTTGTGGCTATGTAATACATGTCAGGCATGGTTCGCAATCATTTTCTCATCTTTTGTCCTTTGATTTGTTAACATGATATCAAAGCGGATTCAATCCCTTTAAATTTAATCCACGTTTGTTTGTTATTAGTTTGTTGATCGTTTCTTCTTATGTTTTTTCGCTTCACCTTAGTTAGTTATCTCTAGTTTAGATCCTTGGGAATTTGTCAGTTTTCGCCGTAAGTTTTTGTTTTCGCTTCTCTTTTTGTTCTTTTTTTGTTCTTGCACATTATATAATCATGAGTCAGGTTTTCATTCGTTTTATTTATTTATATATTTATCAGTGTTTTCTAAAATTACAAATTCTTAGTTTATTGGTCATCATCTATTGTTTTAATTATGCATAGCATTTGTAAGTATCACACGTAATTAAGAGAAAGGGTACCTAGATTATTTGAATTTTGAAAAACTTACAAGAAGCATGCATTAGTGTACTGTTGAGGAGGATGAGGATGGAATTAACAAGGAAGAAAACCCTAGGATAAATTGAAATGGGTTCCATGTATTTCCTTAAATATGATACGCGCACTAAGTTCCAAATAGATCAAAGTAAAAAAAATTCTTGTCAATATTCTGACCTTGTAGGTTGACAGTTCACAGTGTAACGGTCGATATACAATTTTCTTGTTCGTGAAGGGCTATCTAGGGTAACCCCTTTAAATAAAAAATAAAAAAAATATTGTACACTAGCAGTCACACAAGCATTTCGTACGCGAGAGATTGATTCACACGTTGAGTCCTTAAGATAAATTTTTCTCGTCTAATGGATATATGATGAACGCAAAGGCCTTGTATCTTAAGTGTGTGGGATCCTTTACCCTCCACATTAGGTTTCATGTTTGTTCCTCCTTTTGTATGACAGAATGCTTGATGAACATAATATATAACAAGTACAGTTAAACTATATAAACTTACCATCAGATATTCAACAAGGATAATGATGATGTGCAATTGTCGGCAGATGATTTGTACACAAATTAACCAAATAAGAGTGTAGATCTGCAAGTTGTGGGAGTGAAGAAGGGTCATGGAAATTCGATGGAGCTAGTGGAGAAGATGGGATCTGCAAACGTAGGGTTTAGAGTTGAACCGAGTTGAACGTGTGTCTAACTTGAGAGTGTGCTGGTCATAAAATGGATAAATGTTTATGTGTACTCATAATACAATAAGGTGATGCCTCACGTATTAGAATATAAGCGGACGATATGATTAATATATGTTCCACTTTTATGCTACATTTTTCAATATCACTCCACTTATATTAGGACACGAGTGTACCACTTTGTGTTTCATAAAATGGTCAAAGAGTCATTCGTTGCATTTGTCGAAAAAACAATAAACAAATACTGAGTCAAGCCAACAGTTCACTATTAATGACATTGATATTATCCTAACTCAACCACATATGCACAACTAAGTGCAATGACATTTTATCAAATTAATCATATGCATAACTCAACAAGTATATTAAGCTATCACAAAAGACCTCGGTGTTATTAAGTGTCAAACCCTTTACAATAAGTTATAATTAATTCTCTGAAGTATCCCATATGGGATTTGCATTATTCAACACTCACTCAACGTAAAATCACGTCATTTAGTGGGCTACGCGTGCAAAAGAGTCAGGGTCCTGTTCACAATTAGAATAATTTTCATGTCGGGTTGAATTGGGGTCTTGTTAAGAAATCGGAATCATCATCATGTGGGATCAAGTTTGAGAATCCACTCTGATATCATGTCAATATTTAAGAGTCAGGCCAACGATCCACTGCTAATCATATCAATATTGTCCCAAACTTAACCACTTATACAATCGAACATGTATTAATTTTTTTCATTACAAAAGACCTAAGTACAATTAGTTATAATTTATTCTGCAAATTACCCGATGTCAGATGGCATTCTTTAACAAATATTGTGTTGGTATGCATAATGTTGAGTTGCCTAGGAGGCCGGAAATGTTGGGCAGGATTTGTAGCGGACCAATCCCATGTTTGGGATAAAAAAATGAGTTGGGCCTTACAGAGTGGAATTCGATCAACATATAAACAATGCAATAGGAATGCTTCGCATTTTGAACCACACACCCAACTGGACTACATTTCATGCCATACTTGACTATCATTTACCCAATAACAGTATCCTGCTACTTTTTAATCCCAATATTATAGTGCATAAAAAATAGATCATACTATACGCGCACAGTTGCAGATTAATATACAA